ACAGCTTCCCCATAATTTTGAGGTGAAAATGGGAGGAGGACGATTTAATGTTAATACAATTCATTTCAGTTCATGTCTCAGAATGTGTATTTTTTTGTTTGTAATTTCACAGTTGTAATACCATAACGTGAAAGCGCCACTTTTCTATCGCGAATGTGCCGAATCTGCTTATGTAATTACAACCGCAAGGTGATATAGAAGGGGAGGCCGGGGGGAGAGGTTAGCTCTCGTGCCTCCGTTGGTAAAAAAAATTAGCCAATCAGCATCGAGTGTTCACTTTCAGCGCTGAGGAGTGTTGAAAAAAGAACCATCGCAAGGGAGGCTAGCCTCCCCTCTGATATCAACCAAGCATCAAAGAGACGTAAATTACGTGATATTAGTTTGAACGTCTCCCGCTGCTGATAATGTACCAAGTACTTATGAGTAGCGATATTGAATATTTGATTACCAACAGATTTACTAAGCTGTCATTCAAACAGTATATATACAAATGATATTATCTTACTGTATGCATGTCGTTTTCTTTACGTTTTCTGACTAAAAGCAACCAAAAAGCCGTTTTAAAGTGGTTAAGCAAATAATAATAATAATAATAATAATCGGCAGGGATCCCAGCCTAATACAATTAGTGTCCCTCCTCTATTTTAAAACCCAGGAGCCGCCACTGTCTCACACGGCTCCGGGGGGTGAACAAAGGTCTTCTGTAGCGAATCGATGCGTTTTTGTAAGAAAAATATCCATATTCAAAACTTAATACTCACTTTATTGTAGCTTGCGCCATCAGTTGTACACAGAAGCAGCTCCGGGAGCATGACGTATGAGGTCGGTGTTGCGCTTTTTTTAAATGGATGGGCGTTTTTTATTTCACTTCTTTTGGACTGAAGCACTGCAACACCCGCTGACTGCAATGATAGAGCTTGAAATAGCCAGGACAATTTTTAATATAACTCCGACTGGATTCGTCTGAAAGAAGAAAGTCATATACACCTAGGATGCCTCGGGGGTGAGTAAAACACAGCCTAATTTTCATTTTTGGGTGAACTAACCCTTTAATTGCTGTCAATTATCATAGCAGTGGTGTTGACATAACCACTGATAAACTGAGATTTTACAGCATTCATGTTACAAGTTGGGATGATCCATTGATTCCCTACATTACAACATTTTCCAGTGTATTTAAAATTAATTGCTAGACGGCACTATACTCTTACCTTGTGCTTTATGGTTGTGAAAATGCAGCATTTGGGTAAAAACAGTAAATCATTCTAAAAATAATGATATATTCACACAATTTCTACTGGTACAAAACAGACACTTTTTGTGATGGAACCAAATAATTACAAGATGAAAATAGGAGATGAATCATTTTATTATCATGATAAAATGAAACGAAAAATAAATGTGCATGCATAAATTTTTTTTTGCTCATCTTACTTTCTCGTTACTTTTTTGTCTTACTTTTGTTAAGTACTTGCACATCAACTTTGTGTGCTTTACAATTTAATAAAAAAATCTTGATCATCACTGACCAAACCTCAAATAGTTTCAAAATCAAACATGTGATAGTGACTTCTCATCTCATCTTCATTTTTGATGAATTTGACTCCCAGCATTGCTTTCCTTCAGGTCATGTGAGTAGTGAGGTGACGCAGAAACTCTCCGCGGGTGCTTGTGTGTCCAGGAAACACAGCGTGACAGAACTCACACACCTGCGACTGCAGCGTGACTCCAGACATGAACAGCCCTCCGGCTTGACTGACCAGCTCACTGTCCAGAAACGAGGATGACCAGGGCCTCTGCGGGACAGAGAAACAGTCTTCTCACACATGTCAGATGTTCTAGTAACTGTAGTGAGGTGTTTAGCACGAGGTGTGATCAGGAGGAGGACTAGACACATTCAAGTTGGGAACTTAAAGGAACTGAAGTGAACCAAAGCTAACTAAACACAGGTATGATACGAACCCGCAGCCTTTGTGAAGTCTGGTTTGCATAATAATGTTGCTCAACTCTCCTCAGGTCATCCCAGGCACTGTTTTCCACGGTCTTTACAGGATTGTGGAAAACTGCATTATCATGGTCACCCTGCTTCTGATCTGGCACGTCCAGGTTAAGATGCAGTTTGTCTAGTCCTCTATCGATACGACTGAGATCATTACCAGCTGACAAACAAACATAAGCATAACTTGATTTAACACTTGAGGTGAAAAGATTCAGAATTGCAGACAAAAGTAAGAGAATAGAGATATCAAGAACAATATCTGTAATGATAACTACATTAGCATCCACACCAACACTCAATAACGTTGTTTAATATAAGTGCACACTGCAGTTCTGTTGTCTTTAAATGATCAAGCTCTTTTTTTAAGCAGGATGGATTCTGATTGGCTGTCAATATTTTTATCGTTCATCAGCTGGCGAGAAAAAATTTACAACGATGATTCCAACGATATTTGTGCCGTTATCGTTTTGGTGTGAATTGCTATTCTTTTGAATTTGGAACAATTTTTGGAACTATATCGTTATAGTTATTATCCTTGGTGTTAATTGGCCTTTAGTCAATGGTAGAATTTAAATCTTTCAAATGATCATTTTAACAGACATAATGAGAATACTATACTTTGAGGGTTCAGTATGTGTGGTCCAGTGGGATGTCCTAGAGGTTCGTGTTCGTGGCATCCTGCAGGAAGGAGTTGATGTCCTGACTTTTCCTCTGTGTACTGACACGGCTTTCCAAAGTTCCTAGCTGGACCTGAGACCAAACCTGAAAGTGAACATTAATATAATTTATCATAGTGCATTACCCGGGGTTCTCAACTCTGGCTCTCGAGATCCATTTTCCTGTAGAGTTTAGCTCCAACCCTGATCTCGAGGGCCAAAGTTGAGAACCCCTGGTGAATACGATCATTTAATACATTGTGACATTAATCATACATGAAGTAATTTGTAGTTTATTTGCGAGTCTTCTGACCTTGCTGTCGTTGTATTGTGTCAGAGAGATGTTGTATTATTGCTGCTTGTTTTAAGCAGAGTGACTGGAGACGGACAAACTCCTGGTACAGTGCTGCATACGCCTCCTCCATCTAAGAGCAGTTATCAGTGGAGCAAATTAAACATACAACTTATTAAAAAAGTATCTGAGCTTGCAGTCTTGAAGACTTCTGTACAGGAAGATAAGAACAAATATAGAAATGAGGAAAATTATTCACTAAAAAGCAGAGAGAATGTTTTTCATAATTTCATAATTCAAACTGCCATAATTATTAGCAAGAAAAAACGCACAAAAGTACATTTCAGTGATCATTGTGGTAAGCTGACTCAATGAAACTTGCCATTAAAAAGCATATTATATTTTTTCAACAAATTGTAACTTTATGTTTAACTTTAAAGTTATGATAATGCATTGGTACTCGCCATGGAACTAAAAATTACCCGAAAAAGAGGGGAGTAATACAAAATTGAAATATACAGACTGCAGGTTTCTGCTTATTATTTTACCATCAAGAAATATAATAGAGACCAGGTTGGTTGTTACAGGGTTGATCTCTTGGTTGTAACTGGGTACAGTAAAATTATAACATCTGAATATTTACCCTCTTGACACTGACATTAATAAATTACAACTTCTCAGTCTTTCGCTTTTGGCTTTTCAGAGATGGCGATTTTTTGACTAAGGTGACCTTTCCTTGCTGGACAATTTCAGTGGACCGATAGATAGCTAGCTAATCATTGGCACACCTCAAAGTATGAAAATCTTTCGCGCAGTGGGTTCTTCCGCAACAACACTTGAGCCACAGATGTCGACCGAAACCACAAAAGTAACACAGTAGCCAACCATCGTTTGTACCTCTAGATATTCAAGAAAAAGCAAACACCCTGCGTACGTCCTCGGAAATATATCACTATAATATCAATACTAACAAACACGTTATTTTCTCCATAGAAATATTCAGCTCCTATCACTCTGTATCGCAATAGGCTACATTGCATTGCGGTGGCCACAGAATGAAAGCATAAAGAGGACGAACTTATTCCCATGGTAGACTATATAAAATACATGCTTACTAATATCCAAACATCCGTGATTAACTCGATACACCTGAAGGAATCTTTTACGTCTGTCACTCAAATGACTCTGCGATGAAGAGTCACATTTACTAAAAGAAGCAAACAGTATGTGTCAGGAAATCAAAAACAGGAACTCAAACAGGAACCTCCTCCTGGGTCTTCTTTAAAGTGACCCAGCACAGAAACAGAGCTTTTATCGCGTCTAAACTCACTTCAGGCCTCGCCGCCTGCGTAAATAAGATGTAGTGTTACGTTAGCGTATAGCGAAATAGTGTCTGTCTACACAGTCTTTATATATTATTTAAAGTATAATAGTGTGTACTATTTGTAATATCATTTAAAATAATTGTATTAATACAATAAACTGTTTAATATCACAAGTTAACATTCCAGCAGCACTGGGTTGGTCTAACCTATAAGTTCACTTTTAGTATAGTTGCAGTACAAACTAAACATTTTGATGTAAACTAGTTGTGTACTCAAAGTTTACTACTGTTATACTTAAAAGTATACTAGAAAGTGGGCCAATTTAGTCCCAAGGAGTATTGAAATATTACACTTACAAGTATACTACTAGTACACTGATATTTGTATACTTAAAATATACTTGAACTTTACTTAAGTATACTTACTAAAATAAACTTGAAGTATACAACTTTTTGGTAAGGGATATCTGACTATTTGGCATAGCCAACTGATTGTTTTTGTGTCTCCATTTTCAGCAGTGATATCGTGATGGAAAGTCTTAAAGGGGTCATATGAAGTTGCTAAAAAGAACATTATTTTGTGTATTTGGTGTAATGAAATGTGTTTATGCGGTTTAAGGTTAAAAAAACATTATTTTCCACATACTGTCCATTATTGTTTCTCCTCTATGCCCCGCCTTTCTGAAACACTTAAATTTTTACTAAAACTCATCGGTCTGAAAAAGCGAGGTGTGCTGTGATTGGCCAGCTATCCAGTGCGTTGTGATTGGCCGAATACCTCAAGCGTGTGACGGAAATGTTACCTCCCTTACCATACTGTGATGCTTGCGGCAACCACGTGTGATGTAGTGATGGGAAGTTCGGATCATTTTACCGACTCGGACCTTTGAGTCTCGTTCAGCAAAATTAATGAATCTTTTTTCGAGTCATTTCGTTCATTTTAGCAAAATACAATTAAAATGTTACGTGTTCCCTAACCCATCTACTACTTACGCAAACGTTGATCACACTACAAACAATATAAAACTGCTATAAGAAACAGAAAAGATTAATTCATTGTGTACCTGGGTCTTCAGTCTATGATTAGCTCACCTCACCTCTTATCTGACAAGTCTTCGGGTTTGAGTCGTTCGTTCATCACGTGACAGCAGCATAAACTTAAGGTGCGTTCGACTTGAAGCACCGCTACAGACGGCAGTCAACGAGAGTAGCCGCTTTCAGTCGGGGGCGGAGGTTAAAACGGAGCCGTCAAGGACACATTCTGCTCCCGTTAGTGACGCTCACACGGTGTTTGCATACTCTATCACAGATGAAGTGAATTAAATGCAATATCTGTCAAATACACAGACGTTTCAGAAACGTTTTCATGAGCAACAGAAACACTTTTTATATACTGCTTAATACAGCGCCATCTGTTCAAGAATAAAGTTCAACGTAAATATATACTATTTAAATACTAATAAAGTGGGGGTATATATGCTTTCATGATAAACGTGACTCAATATAACATTGCGACTACAGTAAAAAAGCTTTTACTGTTCTAAAAACACAGATGTATGAGCAGTATTGGATTTGAAGATTAGAAACACATGTCATTGTTGTCATGTGGTGAATTTGGCCAATCAGCGCTCCTGCAGTCGCTCTGAAAAAGCTGCAGCAGCTGAGTCAGCCGGCTGCTCTCGAAACGATACCGCGGTACTTTGATGCCACACGTGACAGTGACGTAGCTTCGGCGCCGGTTCAAGTCGGACAAAATTTCTAACCGGCATGCACTGCTTCAAGTCAGCCGCCGATCGGTTTGCGCGGCGCCGCATGAAGTCGAACGCACCTTTAACCAATGCAGTCTGAGCCGGAAAGAGAATTGATTAGTTATTTTTTTATTTTTTTATTTTTAATTGAAGATATAACATTCACAGGGGATACAGTCATAGCAATAAAATACACACACCCAGAATACAAAACAATAAATACAAAAAGAATAATACAAATGAAATATAAACAGAACAAAAACAAATAAAAAGTTAAACATCTTTTTTTTATTTTTATAAATAAATCATAAATAAATTAAAATAAAAAAATAACTTAAATGGAATATTACACATAACATGTCAACTTCAAAGAATACACAGGAGGTAACCCTTACATCAAAGTCAATATTTTTTCCATCAGTACAGTAGTTTTAGCAGCTTTCTTATTAAGTGATGAGCAGAGAGATTCAGAAAATAATTTCAAATCAATACAAAAAATCCTAAAATTGGGCATAAAATCAGTAACTTTACATTTGTGAAGATGAAATAGGCCAAAAAGAGTTAACAGTTTTAAGATACCATTCAGCTCCTTTGATCCTGATTCCCAAATTAAAAATTGTGCATTAATTAACTCAAAACTAAAAAGTTTATTGTAAGCTGAGAAAACAAGCCAAGATATTTCTTTCCAAAAATCCTTTGCATTTACATTTACATTTAGTCATTTTGCAGA